TTAGGCTTTCTCTGTGTGAATAGAGTTCACTTTTTTGAGTAAAGTAAGAATTATATGTCACCGGTGTGTGTGTGTGTGTGTGTGTGTGTGTGTGTCAGGATTTTAGACATGATGAGGTGGGGCATGGACAAAAAATGGTTGGGAACCACTGGTCTAATCTCTTCTTTAAAAGATGGAGCACCCACAACTTCCGAAGGCAAGTCATTCTACTGATTAATTGTTATAACCATCAGGAAATTTCTCCTTAGTTCTAGGTTGCTTCTCTCCTTGATTAATTTTCATCTCTTGGTTCTTATCCTGCCTTGATGTGCTCTGGAGAATAGCTTGACTCCCTTTTCTTGCAGCAGCCCATCAAATATTGGAAGACTGCTGTCATGTCACCCCTAGTCCTTCTTTTCATTAAACTAAGACATATCCAATTCCTGCAACTGTTCTTCGTATGTTTTAGCCTCCAGTCCCCTAATCATTTTTCTTGCTGTTCTCTGCACATCTTTTTTATATTGTGGTGACCAAAACTGGTTGCCTAGTATTCCAAGTGTGGTTTTACCAACCCAGTCCTTCTTTTCATTAAACTAGACACACGTAACGTTTACCAAAACAACCAGTGTCAACCAAGACAAGTCCTATAGATCGCAATAAGGTTTTTTTTTATATGAAGTAACTTTCTTGGTAATAACTAAGCCATTGACTTTGGTGGCCATACAGGCAATGGAGAAAAATGCAGTTATTACCAGTGATGAAAGAATTGTCGGCTGGATGATAACTTCCCACACCAGGAGCTAACGTAATCCCTTCTGAGAGTGATCTTTCTTTCTAGATTTGTGGTTTTTTCCCCCCCTGTTCTTCCTATTTTTTAAAGCTATTAAAAGGAGGGGGGATTCTTGAAACCTGTATGTTACTGTTATGTGAAAACTGGCATTATGAGAAATTTATTATCTACATTGTGTTCCAGGTCCTGTTTCTTTCTGCCTTCCCTTCCAGGTATTTCAAATCCAGATTGCCCTGGGCATCAATCACCTTGTTCTCCACCATGAAGTCCTTCTTATTCTGCTGCCTCTTTGGCACTTTCTTAGCTACAGGTGAGAAGACATTGGGAGCAATTCAAGAACCTTGCCTTGGATAGTAGGACTCCAGGCAGTCACAGGTGTCCACAGAAGGGGCTCAAAAATGTCAAGATGGTGCCCACCATCATGTGACTGAAACCTCAGCCATTATTATTATCATTATCATTGTCATTATCATTATTATTATTTACTTTAATCATTAAACATGAAACTCAGCCAACTGAACATTCAAAAAGGCATCACAAACATCATTGACTGGTGCTAATGGTTGATACGGTTTGCTGCCAGCATCCTAGGTATCAACCAAGGACCTTCTTAACATATAAGATGTTCTGAGTAGCACAGTTTTTTGCAGTTCTCCTGGTGTTATTGCAAGAAGCTGCAATTTGTGGATGTATCTTGTAAAATTCTTGGACGTGGTGCCAAGTGCCCCGATGACAATAGGTATCACTGTTCCATGTTTCATCCATAGCTGTGTAGTTTCGATGGCCAGGTTGTGATATTTCATGATTTTTTCTAGTTCTTTTTCTTCAACTCTGGCATCTCCGGGACGCTTCGGCCCTCTACAACTGTGATATCTGGTGTGTTGTGCTCCAAATGACGATCCATTTGTATTCGAAAATCCCACAAGATCTTCACCTTCTCATTTTCGATAACTTTTTCCACTTTATGTTCCCATGACTCAGCCGTTGTTGTTATTATTATTGTTGTTGTTGTTATTGTTATTGTTATTG